CCTTGGTGACACCAGGAGTGCTTGCGAGAGGCTGGTGCCGGTGGACGAGCGGAGGGGACAGGGTGGTCTGTGCTGCTTGCTGAGGCGGGCTGGTGACCACGGGAATGGGAATGACGGAGATGGGAGCTGCTAGGGGCGGAGGCGGCGGAGGGGCTGGAGCAGGGGGCGAGATGGGCACTGCCAGCATTTCGTTCCTGGGCTCCTCCACGGGAAGGGCATGGTTAACCCTCTGCACACTGGCCTTCTTCTGCTCCTGCTCCCTCTCTAGGCGGAGCTTCTCGTGCTTCTCATTTTCTTCTGCAAGAGAAACAAGAGCAGTGACTATCAGTACTTTTATGATGCTGTTTGCCACCCACTGCGAAGTGTGACTGAGACCCTGGACGCACCGGTGCTGCCCAGGGCAGGAAAGAGCAAAGATGAAATCAGTCCACAATGAATGCTGGTGTGCAGCCTGCCCTGTATGTTTGTACAGCACGAAACAAAGTAGAGGAAATCAGTGTGTCCCAAATAGCAAAACAAGCGCCTCTATAACTATGTTCTGGGTCTGTGGCCCCGGAACCTGCTGACTGACTGTGCTTTGTGCAGGCACACGCGTGATCACGCACCCCGTTCCACGCACACATACACGTGTGTGCGATCACACACCCCGTTCCACATGTGCACACAATCACGCACCCCGTTCCACGCACACACACGCGGGTGCAATCACACAGCGCAGCGCCAGCGCTCACTGGACAAAGCGCTGCAGCTCTCCAACGCGCTCACCGCGGCTCTTAGTGAAATTCCTACGAGTACTTCTCATCCACCTGGGAAGCTGCGAGAGGAAAGTGGGGTTACCAGCAAGCATTCCTGATCAAAAATATTTATGCAAATGTCTCTGCAAAGCAGGTGCAGCCCTCGGGCTGCAGACAAGCTGCCAGCAAGGCCTTTGGGGTTGCAAATTTTGGGCTCCCTTGAGCTAAACAGTTCATTTCAAGGATTTTCCAAGCCAAAATCTAACATCAGTAAAGTCACTGTCCTCTGTGTCTGACTTGTTTATCGGCAGAAAGAATCCAAACTGTCAATTCATCTCCTCACTGAATGGATTTAATAGTCCCTAAACAATATCTTAGTTACACACATAAACCTCAGGGATAGGGAAACTTCCAGTGGCTCCATCAAGCTATGGAGACCTCCCTGCCACCTTCTCGTTCTATACCAGCAGCTTGCAAAGTAGCCAAGGAAACGCTTCCCCTTACAGATGCTAAGGCAAAAGGGCAGCCCCACATTCGTACCACTCACTGTGCCGTTAACATCACCACCAATACATGATCTCCTGCGACTCCAGCACGTAAAAGGCATGTGATGTTTGGGGCATTTTCACAAGAACGATGGTGGGCTCAGAGGCACAGCTCAACTGGCAGCAATACACCAGCATTTTACATAATTTCCATCCATTGCTGACATTCTCAAAGGGCCTGAGGAGTGAAGGAATTGAGGAAGTTCCACAGCCCTATGAATCACAACTGAAGTGCACTGCGGCGAGCAATCTGATCTTGCTCACACTCACGTGAGCTGTGCAAAGATTCAAATCTCGAGCGCCGAGTACTTGAACTTCATTGCCAAAGCACCAAGGCTGCGCACAACGGCGGAGGATGGCAGCAACACGAGGAACAGCCCATGTGGCCGTAGGAAGGGCCAGGGCTGCCGCAGAACCAGGGTCAGCCCTCTCCGGCGCAGAGGACCGGTGCTGTTCTAGGGCCCTAACGGTTCAGGCAGCCGCGGGGCCAGGGGCTGTGCACTCTGCTACCTAATAACGCAGGGTTTAGGTTTAACTCATCCGTGGGGAGCAAAACCAGGCATCTTACCTCTATTCAGGCTTAAATTGCCTCCCAATCACAGAGAAAAACACTATTTAACGCTATAGACAGGTATGCATTTGTAGGACCGTGGCACAAGATTAATTAACTCTCTGAACCACGAAATGCTCCTGGCAGCTTCTGATGTACCCTATGAACCACTACACGCTGGCAAAACCGCACACTCGGTTTCACTCGTACCGGTTCTACAAGAGCGTCACTTGAAGGAGTCGCTCTGATCTACACCAGGGAAGTGGTACAAAAGGGAAAAAGAGTCTCCAGATTTTCAGTCCTCTCCTGTATGTCAACAAGGAGTCACCAACACGGAACAATTCATACCATAAGTGTGGATTAAAACTAGAGAAGACTACGTGCCCTTGGTGCCCTTCAGAGTCTCCAGCGCTCGCAGCAGACGCCCTGCACTTCTGTTTATGAGTAAATTCACCTCTTCTAAAGCTCTTCAGAAAAGCTGATGATGTCAGTTGAGTAACAGGCAAGGCTGTTCTCTGTGACCACCCCCATTCCCTTCCATGGGGTTGGGTTGTCAGCAGAAGCAAGGAACAGACAGAATAAACCCTGCTGCAGGGCGTTGGGCAGGGCCCTCTGCTCGGCTTTGGCCCGGGGGCTGCAGCGG